AAAGGGAGGAGGCACTGCTTCAATTTTTAAAAACACACTGGGCCCAAACGAAGTTTCTTTTAACAGTTTTACATCATTTGAATACCACGCATTTGTTTTTAGCAGTCCTCCTACTCTCTGCATTACAATTAACAGACCACCCCATTACTCCAACTCTTTTATCAGCGAATTTTCTGAACTATTATCAATCTTACACACTACCCATAACAGGATTTTAATAACTGGTGATTTTAACTTGCACATTGATACAGCTTCTGATACAGTGTCCAAGGAGTTTTTAAACCTTTTAAATTGCATGGGTTTTAAACAGCACGTGGCACAGCCGACTCACAACAGAGGGCACACCCTGGATTTGGTCATAACTTCCGGCCTATCCACTGGTGTGTCCTCTGTTGTCGACCTGGCTGTGTCGGATCACTACTGTGTCTATTTTAATATCACCAGTCTTAACCATCAGGAGGCCCCGGTGAGAACGGTGAGGAAACGCTACCTAACCCCCGAAGTGGCTGCAAATTTTATTGGGATTTTACAGAGCACTCCTGCCGCAATTTTACCTGCACCATGCGATTTTATTGTGGACCATTTTAACAGCACATTAAAAACCGCATTGGACACAGTGGCTCCACCCGTAATGAAAACTTTTAAAACAAAACCCTTACCCCCATGGAGAAAAAAGGATGAAATCAGAAACATAAAGAGAAAATGCAGGAGTGCCGAACGCAAATGGAGAAAAACCAAATTAACAGTTCACCTCGAAATACTACAGGACTCACTCAAAAAATACAATAATGCAGTAAAAAAGGCAAGAACAGCCCACTTTTCAAAACTCATCACAGACCATAAAAACAATTCCAAATTCCTCTTTTCCACCATCGATCTTTTAACAAACTCCCATTTTAAAAAATCTTTTAAGACCCTCACAGACGCCCTCTGTGAGGACTTTGCAGACCACTTCGGGAGTAAAATAGATGATATTAGATCCAGTCTTTTAACTCATCAGAACGTGATATTTGACACATCTGAACAGCCGATTTTACCTGAGGAAACACTGGAGAGTTTTGCCCTGGTTGACGCAAGGACACTTGGTCGAGTTTTCTCCCGAGTAAACCCAACTACCTGCCTTTTAGATCCGATTCCCACATCATTTTTAAAAACATTTTACGAATTTTTTGAGGAACAGATTTTAACCATAGTAAATTGCTCTCTTCAGACAGGGGTCTTCCCCACCGCCTTTAAAACGGCGGTGGTGAGGCCCCTTCTGAAGAAGAGAAACTTGGATACTGATGTTCTTAATAATTATCGACCCATATCCAACTTACCGTTTTTAAGTAAAATCTTAGAAAGACTGGTTTTTAACCAAGTAAATTATTTCTTAAAAAGTAATAATATTTTAGAGAAGTATCAATCCGGTTTTAGGATGAACCACAGTACCGAGACAGCCCTTTTAAAGATTTTAAACGATATCAGGTGTAATGCTGATAAACAGAAGCTCACAGTTCTGGTACTACTGGATCTAAGCGCTGCCTTTGACACAGTAGATCACCAGATTTTATTAAGCAGACTCAGGCACCTGGTGGGCCTCTCCGGTACTGTTTTTAACTGGTTCAGTTCGTATCTCTCGGAACGATCCTTCTTTGTAAATATGGATACCTGTTCCTCAAAAACTCATGAAATTAAGTGTGGGGTGCCCCAAGGGTCAATTTTAGGTCCAATACTTTTTAATCTCTATATGCTTCCCCTTGGGGACGTCATCAGGAGACACGGCATCAGCTTCCATAGTTACGCTGACGATACACAGTTGTACATCGCCGTGTCTCCTGAGGACACAGGGCCTATTGATGCCCTTTTTAACTGCATTTTAGATATCAAGTCATGGATGGCAGTGAATTTCCTACAGCTCAACCAGGACAAAACTGAAGTTTTAATTATTGGTCCTGAAGGCAAGAGAGAGAAACTTTTACCAAAACTACAAGATTTTAAACCTGCTCAATCTGTTAAGCATCTGGGCGTAATTTTTGACTCTGAGCTGAATTTTATTCCACATATCAAGAACATAACAAAGATAGGTTTTTACCATCTTAAGAATATAGCCAGAGTCCGCCCGTTTCTCTCTCAGGCCAACACAGAGGTGCTGATGCATGCTTTTATTTCTAGTCGTTTAGATTACTGTAATGCCCTTCTCTCTGGTCTTCCCAAAAAGACTACTCACATGCTACAACTGCTACAAAATTCTGCAGCACGTGTGCTGACGAGGACCAGAGGGCGGGAGCACATTACACCGGTTTTAAAATCCCTGCATTGGCTCCCCGTGTGTTTCAGGATCGATTTCAAGGTTCTTTTAGTAGTTTTTAAGTGTCTTAACGGTCTTGGCCCACCTTATTTATCTGAACTGCTTTCATCTTATCAACCCTCGCGTACCCTGAGGTCCTCTGGCGCCGGCCTTTTAGTTGTTCCTCGGACAAAAACTAAAACTCATGGAGAGGCTGCCTTCAGCCATTATGGCCCAAAGTTATGGAACAGCCTGCCAGAGAACATCAGGACCGCAGAGACTGTTGATGTTTTTAAAAGGAGGCTCAAGACCCACCTTTTTAGTTTAGCTTTTAGCTGATTTAACTGTTCTAGTTTATTTTATCCTTTACTTTTATCACATTTTTATGTCACTTAGATATTTTAACATTATTTTAATTTAGTTTTAGTTTATTTTATCCTTTACTTTTATCAAATTTTTATATCATTTAGATATTTTAACATTATTTTAATTCCTACTATCTCTTAGTCTTTTTAGCTCCAGTGTTTCCTCGTGGGGGCCCTCCACACTGGGAGGTGTGTCTGGTCCGCCCCCGGGGGGCGTGGTCCTTGGGATTGTCCAGGCCCGGACGGTTAGGGGGCTCTGCACCATGTGCGGGGTGCACCCGGGCTGTCTGGGTCGGGGGGTCACGGGGGCGGTGCTCCCTGTGGGGGTGGGCTGTGGCTCCTCTCGGTGTGGACGGCTCCCATAGGTGGTCTTTCCTTACCAGGATCCTCAGTGCCTTGCCATGTTTTTACTGTTAGTTAGTGTGTGGGTGTGTGGATACGTGTGTGCGTGTATGCGTGTGTGTGGGGGGGCTGCTGTGCATGCCTGTATGTGCTGCTGTGGGTGGGAAGGGACGGGTTTTATGCCTATTTAATTGCCTTATATTTACCGTTGTTTGTTTGTTTGTTTTTTAACCGTTGTTTGTTTTTATTTTCTTGTAAAGCACCTTGTGTTGCAGCTCGCATGAAAGGTGCTATATAAATAAAGTTTGATTTGATTTGATTTGATTTGACTCCAGTGACCCCTGCTGTCAGATTATCAGCTTTTCAAATCCACTAAATTACAGTTCCTACAGTAACTTAAGTGTTTTGATTCATTTTTGTCCACAGTTTGGTTTGTAGGAGCTCAGTGGCCTATTCTACGAAGCAAGTTAGACCTAGCGAGGTAGCTCCAAGGCTACCTCGCTCAACTTAGCGCAGTAGCCAGCGGCCTTGCTAAACAGTCTTATGACGCTGGTAATCAACCTGGTAAGTGGATCCAGTTTTGCTATGAGCGCCTGCACACATGTAAGGCGGAGCCCGCTGCATCTGACAAATTGCGAACATGAACCAGTCTGGAGCGTAAGAGCAGGCCAGAGAGCAAAAGACCGCGTACTTTACAAACAAGGAGCAGGAGATGATCATGAGAAAGTATGAGGAATTCAAATCTATCATAAACCTAAAAAGCAACAGCGTCGCCGCTGCAAAAGCACGGAAGGAATGCTGGCAGAAAATTGCCAACAGTCTCAATGCATAAGTATAGTGCACAAAAAATCTTTGATGCCATTATCACCCTGAAATAGCACTGTTCAACATGCGCTTTTCACATGCACCAGACATGTCTAATTTATTTCCAAGATGAAATTATTCATCTGTTCATTCCTATCGTGTTTACATTTTTGTGTGATATGTAGGCCATATGAGCCTACATAAAGGTGGTCATCGGGAAAAGAAAGTGGGTCAGTGCGGATCCTGAAAACTCTCACGCGCCGGAGTGCCTCGGACAATGCGAGCACCGAGGTCTATAGGATTCTCCAAGAACGGACAAGCCATTTTTCGAGAGAGCTCATTGGTCAGTGGGTGGGGTTTTTATACTCGGTGAGTTCAATCTGGAACCTAACCTGCTCCGGGGCAGGTTAGGTTACAGATTCAGCGTACGTTGCCATGGAGACTCACCTCACTAAGAAGTGAACCCACGTCGTAGAACAGGAAACCCCGAACTTACCCTTGAAGTTACCTCGCTAAGCAGTAATCCTGCTTCGTAGAATAGGCCCCTGGTCAGAGGAAACAGGAGCAGCTTGTAGTGAAGGTTTTTCGCCACTTGGCAGTGCTGTTGGTTAACGTTGGATTCATCAGGTCATAAGCAGCAGTTTGTTCTCAGTGCTGAGACTTTCAGAGATGAATCAGACAAGTTAAAATCATCTAATGTGTAATCTTTACTCCTAAGGTCAGGAGCGAAGGAGACCTAAGAAAATATCTCCATGTCTCTCCTAAAGTCAGGAGATCCAATAAAATATCTATGTCTCTCCTGAGGTCAGGAGTAAAGATCTACGAAAATATCTGTTTTTGGTTTAGATTTCATACATTTGATATTTTCTAGGCTCCACACTCAGACCTTGGCTGTCAGTCTCCTTCAAGCAGGCTGGAGTCTCTCTGAATGTTTTCTCACTGTTTCAATAGATCAAACTAAGACATCCTGACAGCACTCTGTGAGAATTCATCAGCCATGTAAAAAAGTCCCTGCTGTTTCCTCCTGTCTGGGTGATGCTGAGGCTTCAGTGTGGCTCCATTCAGACTGTGACTTTAACACGCTGACTCTGTTCAAGTTCAGTAGTTGTTAGTCCTGTGCACGAAGACAGTTTTTTTCAGGGAGAACCGAAGAGTGAGCTGAATTTCCCTGCAGTGGTGTTTCTGCGCTGAGGCTCAAATAATCAACCTGGACTCGGGTGTGAGGTATATCAGCCTTTATTGAAATACAGCTCTGATATGTACAAAGCCAGCAGTAAAAAGTTAACAAACAAGGTTTTAATAAGTCCAACGATGAAGACCATAACTGTAAAATAAAGATTCAAGTCATCTGAGCAGGACATGGTCTGACAGGACAACGATCAAAGACCAGGTTCACATAGAGATGTCCTGCAGACTCCCAGCATCAGATCCAGTTTAGCAATATGAAATACAACAACAGACAAATATTTATTTCAAAATAAAACACAGGCTGGAAAATAAAACAGTGAGATTCATCTCAGCTGTGATGTAGCTTATCTTTGCTTCACATGCAAACAGAACAACAGACAAACTGAGGTATACAAGACTTTAATTACATACATATTCAAGCTTCTCAATGTAAACCCTTATTTTCCCACATTGCACCACACAGACTGCTTGCAGGTCTGTTCAAAGCAGGTAAAACTGCAGCCGTGCAGCAAGGTGGTTAAATCTCTGAGGAATGTCAGCAGACAGCTGGGCAAAGTAAAAGGAGGTAGTTTAATGTCAAAGGAAGTTCAGGGAGTCTTGTCTGCTCGCCCCAAACTTTGGTTTCAGGCTGAATACTTCTGCACGCCATCCTGATGGTCATGATCACAGTTTCACTCAGGTCCCATTCAAAGCTGACAGATGGACAATCTACCAAGAAACAACTCAAACTTTTCACTTTTAAACAGAAGTCTGAAGCTCCCTTCAAATAACCTGATTGTACCTCCAAAGAACAAAAATGCTAAATACTAAATTCAAATTATCACAGACTGAACACAGAAACAACGACCACTGACTGTATACCCTGTGAAGGATCTGCAGCGCCACAGGAGACCACATAAGGATTGTTATAAAGGCACAAAGTTTCTGTCAAAGTAAGAGGACTGTTTCAGTTGAAAGAGACACGTTAAAGGATGGACGTCTCTTTTCACCTCAAATCATCATAGTTCATCTAAATGACACCAACGATAAAAACTTAATACTGACAGAAATAATTGTAGGACTCAAAATCATCATCAGGACCTTCTACAACATCTGTATCACTCTCACCTGTACTCTTGGCAGCAGCTAAGAAACTTGTCTCTAAATGGCGTTCACACCGAGGGGACTGGGGTTGGGGGGGGCATGGCACTGATAGGAGGCAGCTGTGATGGTTAACACGTCTATCACCTGATTGGCTGAATCAAACTGGTGTTTGAAGCTCCTGGATGATCTTAGATAAACAGACTCAGCTGATCTATGTGAGCTTAAGATCGAGCTGGCGGAGAGCCTGGTGAACATCAACCAATCACAGAGCTCGATCTGAAGCACTGCTTTCTCTCAAGTTTGTTGGATTGTCCCATCTAAATGTCGGAGAGCCCCTAAAGTCCAAAGAAAGTTTTCTTTCCTTTTGTGAACTCATGATCATCATCTTGTGTGATCAGAGTTTGACACCTTCTGCACACAGGATCTTGTGTGAACATGATTACAGACCTGTCCCTCTGCACTGAGGATGAAGTGAGCAGAGATCACACAGAAACGGTCAGCCAGGAAAAACAGCGTCACGCTTGCACAAAATAATGAGTTATTGACTTCAGTTGAAATGTTTTTTTAGCGCAGAAACAAATGAGTGTGAAAAAGGACAGAGTCATGTACACACAAAGAGATCACTTCTAAGACTTCCAGGTTCTTGGCCCAGAAGTTTGACTGTCATCTGGTGAAACTGTAATCTTGTGCACACAAGATAACGAGTTATGATTTTGTGCATGCAGAATGATGATACCATTAGCAGGAAAAAAAATTGTGGTGCTTTTTTTCCAGGTAATTATATCATGGTCAAACTTGTTCCTGCTCCAGATGACACAGATATTTACTCACAGGTCAAAAGTTTGCAGGAATATGGTTCTACCTCCATCCAAATGGACTTTCTTTGGTCTTTGAATCCACTCAAAGGGGACATTGATAGACCTTCAGGTGTTTGATCAAGGGGTCTGCTGCTCCATCACTGCCTCAGCCTGTCTGTGATTCTGTTGAATCATCACTTCTATGGATCCAGACTAAGTGCTGAAGAAGCTGATTTGGGCAAGAAAGAGTCAGACAGTGTGTGTGCTGAATCTGAGCACACCTGAACAAGTAAAGAAGAAAGTAACACAGGTGAGCTTACTGCATCCAAACTCCAGGATGAGCTAAGGAGAGTTAGTGGAGGTCACCAGGACAGTATCATGAAAGACAGGTAATGGAAGAGTCCATCAAAGCGAGACCTAAAGTTAGCAGGTCCACTGCTCCCTATCAGGCTTCACATTGGAGAGGATGGGCCTCCAGGTACCATCACCTGCAGCTCCAGGTCCAAACAGCATCCTGCAGAGTAAAGACAAAAGGAAAAACTGTGAGTTTAACATAAATCAGCTGTGCACTCACACATGGGCAGAACTGACCAAACAGTCCTCCTGAGTCCATCTTTGCATGAACGATAACAGCTGTTCTTCAGACACACACAGATCCATCAGTTGGACTATCTCTGAGCTCTGTGGAGTAGCGGCTGTAGAAGCTGCTGACGTCTCTGCACCAACACTCTTTATTTGGACTTCTCAGGAGCTCCAGGTGCCCTTCAGGAAGACCTGAGCTCTGCTGCTCCTTCAGTCATCTGTGCCTCAGATGCATCTCTGTCAGCTGTTTGAGGCGATGACTGGCAGCTTGGTGTTCATGGGCACAATGATCAGGTTTCAAACCTGCAAACACCGATCATCCCTGTTCAGTCTGTCTGTCCTCCCTCTGAGAGCTCCAGAGTCTCTGCACAGAGTCTCTGCACAGAGTCTCAGCCAGCCGGCTGCTGGCTGGCTGGCTGGGTGGATTTGGGTCAGAGTTTGTGGATGTGCAGGGTGCTGGGTGGGGGGCAATGAATGGTAAGTGGTGGTGGGGGATTTGACCTTTGACCCAGCTTGTATAACAAGCTTTCCTGCCCCTCCCCCCAGCAGAAGTAGGACACACGAGCAGAGACAAAGACAGAAGGACAGAGTCCGTAAAACCAAAGACATGACAGAGTGACCAAGATCTAACTAACTCTGAGACTAACTGAGCATGTGACTCCCTGATGGACCCAAGGGCCACCGTAAGGGTTTCAAACCATGAAACCGGTCAGTCAGAGTCAGAGTGAGCATGTGCAGTAGATCATGGTCACTCTGTCATTTCTTCACACAACAGAACCACCTGACCCTGCAGGGACTAAAGCCCTTGGGTTCTGGGTTCTGTTTCATAAAAAAATTGTTTTTTAAGAACACGTTAATGTTCTGGACTCTGGAGTCTCCTCAGTCCAGCAAAGACCCGTCTGAAACAGGTCCCAGGCTGAGATAAGGGTTTCTGCCAAACTGTCTTTTTTTTCTTTTTAAATTTTATGTCTGTTTTTGGTTTTGACCCTGCTCTTCTGGTCCAAAACAACTCTAACCAGCTGAACCGCTAAGACCTGCTCATGGACTGACCTGGATTTTGTACATGGTCAGAGTCCGCTACAGAGACACCATCAGCATCAGCAATCATTTCTGCTGCAACCACCTCTGCCCTCATCAGTGTCTCCAATCAGACTCAAAAGGGGCGGGGCTTCTGCATGATGCCATCTTTGTCAAAAACAATGACAGCGGTGTGCAGGGGAGACATAGAGACCAGGCTGGTCTTTCAGAGACTTGTTCCCAGGTTCAGAGCTGCTGCTGATGCTAACACGTGACCCTGTCATGTGTCAGTCTAAAACCCAGACCCCATCAGGATCAGCTCCCTGGGTCTGGGTGAGGCTAGTTTAGAGGGTTTCTGTCCCAGGATCAGCAGGATCTCAGTCATGGACAGTCTCCTTTCTGTAGCTGCATGCTGATTGGCCGGTTTAATGATTTTTTTCTCTCTACCTTCAGTCGGAAACTTTTCTCCAACTTTCAAAAGTTTCAGCTCTTGTCTCTGCCTCCCTGCGTCATGGACCTCCCGTCACAGCAGAGAGGCGTCACGGGATCTGAAATATTCACCTGTAGTAAATGGTCTGGCTGGACGTCATGCAGCACACATGACCTGATCCATTCGAGCCCGCAGCTGGATGGCATCAGGTCGGTCCTGAGGGTTGAAGGCAAGCATATCGTGCAGCAGTTTCCTCACGCCGTCAGACATACAGGAGCGGCGTTTCTGAGGGATGTTCAGAACCATCTTTGGATTGTCCAAGAGTGCCTCGCCCACAGGCACAATGTCTGCCCCGTGCCTCACATACGTCCCCAGCAGCTCGCGCTTGGATTCGGCGTCAATGAAGGTGATTCTCTCCAGCATGGCCCAGATGATAATGCCCAGGGCGAATATGTCCGCTTTGGCCGTGTAGTGTCCCTCCCACACCTCAGGGGCCATGTAGAAGTCTGAGCCGCACGCTGATGACAACCAGAACTTATTGATGTTTGTGTTCTTCTCCTCTCCCACCTTTCCCTCACTGGCGTTTCCAAAACCGGCGCAGACTTTGCTGAGGCCAAAGTCGGCCACCTTGAGGATTGGGGAACCAGACCGCTCTGAGATGAGGATGTTGTCCGGTTTCAGGTCTCGGTGGACGATGTTGTTCTCGTGCAGGAAGGCCACTGCGCTGGTCAGCTGCAGCATGAAGCTGTTGTTGGTGTTTGGGTCAGGCCGACGTGACAGGATGAATTGATTCAGGTCTCCGCCCTCGCAGAACTCCATGACGAACCACAGGTAACAGGGCTCCTCTGGAGGGCCCAGGACCCGCTCACCTGAGGACACACACACACACACACACACACACACACACACACACACACACACACAGAGGTACAGATTGATAAACAGAGACAGACGTTTGAGTAACAGCAGAACAAGACGAACGAGACAAGTTGCCGCCTAAAGATCAGGATCATCACCTGAACCACCATGTCTCAGTACCTACACCTGCATCCATGCAGTCCTCACTTCCTCATGTCTCTGGACCTCCCACCAGAGATGCATGGAGAGGGGGAGGAAAGAAAGAGAGGAGGAGAGAGGAGAGGAGAGATTAGAAGACGAGAGGGGAGGAAAGGTGAGAGGAGATAGAAGGAAAGAGGGAGAGGAGTAGAGAGAGAGAAGAAGAGGAAAGGAGAGAAGAGAAGAGAAGAGGAGAGGAGAAAAGAGAAGAGGAGGAATAAGAGGGGAAAGAGAGGAGGAGGAGGAGACATGGGGGGGGGTGACAAGAGAGAAGGAGCTGACGCATTTTTCACTTAATTCCTACAGATGGAAGGATGACGCAGTCAGCTAATTAACTGCATTTTGACGTCATTGGCGTCATATCAGCATCTGCCCTCCTGAGGTCCAGTACGCCGTTATCCTGAAGGGAAGTGAGGGCATGTCTGTCACAGCAAGTTTTCAGTAGAACTTCTTTCACCACATGTGGAATACTCCTAATTACATTAAGGATTACATTCATCACTATGAACGTTTTTTTTGCCCTTGATTTTCTCTGGAACTTTTTTCAATAGTGCCTCAGAAACACTGGATCCTTCTTCAGGTTTAACATCCAATCAGTGAGTGATGGGGACGTGTCCATCAGTCAGAGGACTTTGGTCGAGTGGCCCTCCTGTATCCTCAGTTATGCTCCTCTCTCCTGTGGGCCACAATGAGGTCTGTGGGACCCTGGTCAGCAGGATAGCTACAGGACTTCTGAGCTGATTTATCGGCTCAGTAAATAATTTCCTTATTACTTTATGGTCTGATTATGATTGATCATTATTATGATTATTATGATCAGTATTATGATTCAGAGTCACACAGTCAGCAAGATAGGGGTTGGACAGGGGACAAGGGTCTGGCATGTTGCTGGTTTTCATGTTATCCTGAAGCTGTCCATCCTTCTCTGTCTGTAGGTAGTTCATCTATTTCCTACTTCCTTGTTTTGATTTGGTTGCCTCTGATTGGCTGTGATATTTCCATTACAGACAGTGATTTGTTCGTTTTGCTGCTTCTGTTCAGTGAGAATCAGAGGAAAGAGTCAAACAGCTGAGTGCTGATCGCCAGCACAGCAGACTCCATCTTAGAGAGAGAGAGAGCCTGACAGACCTGCCCCTCCCCCACCTGCCGCTGATACAGCAAGAACAACAACTCTGCTAACATAGCACAAAGGGCCATCACCAAAACACCACACATACCCAAACACTGGGGCTGAAACACAGGTTATGTGTGTGGAAACAGCCTGATTCAGAAGTACACAGAGAACCAGCATCCAGACCAGGACAGGCGGTGTGATAATCTGTGAGAGCTTAGAGCAGAGCATGAACCGGCTGACCTCCACCACAGCTGAGTATTACCCAACACTGTTTCCAGCTCGCAAAGCCAGGCTCTAACACTCACATCCAGATCACTCCTGGTTTTACGCTGACCAGGGAGCCCCACTGATTCATAACATCTCCTACAGTCATATCACAGCTGGGGAGGACCAATCATCTGAGCCGATTATTTTACAGATAGTTTTAGTTCAGACGTTGCTTTGACTCCACTACAGCTGTGTCTGCAGCTTGTTTTTCCCTACATATTGTTCAAGACCTGTACTCCAGGTGTTACTGGTTAACTGGTGACTCCTGAGGCCTGTACTACGAAGCTGGATTAACACATTCAGGATAACTCTGCGACAACTCGCTCAACTTCACTGGATCTCTGCGATCCCGATCAGCTGTACTACGAAGCCGGTTATCAACTCAATAACTGAATCCAGGTGTGGCCACTTCAGATCTGTGCGCGCACACGTATAGGGGGTGGGGTCAGTGCCACCGGACCAATCTCCACAATGGAGAAGGCTGCACGTCATTTTTCACAGCCGAAGAACAAAGCATTATTCTACGCAAATACGAGGAGTACCACAACATTATAACAGTGAGGAGCAGGACAGCCACAGTCGCTAAAAGCTGGAAGGACTGCTTGCAAAAAAAATCATCGATTGTGTAAATTACATTTGTGCGTTCATAAATTTATGGCCCCCTTATATGTTGTCATGCAGCGTGTGTGATCACCACCATCATTGTCCTCATTATTTCAGATACAACAGCAGTGGGGAAAAGAGTACGTGGGAGCAAATAAAAATAAATCTAAAAAACATTGTTTAAAGTAGTTTGTAAGTTTATTGGAAGATTTTATTTGTACACATTTCAACGCGTAAACAGTGATTTCCTCACACTGCCCTTTTTTCTTTTTTTCTCCATCATCTGATGGTCACATGTCATCTGCAGACACATTTGAGTTTGAGTTTTCTCATCTGCTTCAATAAATTCTGAATGATGACTGATATGCCGCATGAAATTGAACCTGGAGCTTGGCAAATATTAGTGCATTGCTTAGACTTCATGCTATCTGAATATTGAGGCCATCCGAGGAAAACCTGTAACGTTCATAGAGAACGTCATCAGGTAAATCAAACAGATTTGAACGATCATGAATATAACACCCTCTGTGAAGCGCTCCTATCACTATCCGTGCAATGATGTCCCCGGGATCCAGCAAGAGTGGGCAAGCCATTTTCCAAGACATCCGATTGGTCAGTGGGCTCTGGAGCAGGTTTGGCGTTCCGTGTAAGTTACCGGGGCAACGGACCCGGATAAAAAAAAGAGATCCACCTTCGTAGTACAGAAAACCCAGAAATTATCCTGAAGTTATCTCGCTAAGACCAAATCCAGCTTTGTAGTACAGGCCTCAGATTATGATGCGGAACCTGTCAGTTACTATCATTCATTTGTCCAAAGCAGCAAAGGACTTCTCTAACTTTGAGATCAGAGAAAGACAGATTCAATCAGGGTGATTTTGGGCACATTAAATTATCATCACAGCAGTTTGTTGTTTCTCTCCAACAATCTGAGATAGAAATTAAAGGCAAAAGTCTTAAAGGTAAATATGAGAGTGAATGTTAGAAAACACATGTTTACAATCTGACTTGGTGCTGACTTGATTCTGATTATGGTGAAATGTTAACACTCTAACATCTGATTTATCTGTAAATTTATCTTTAATTAACCAGTCTTCCTCTATTACCATCATATCTCCAGAAAAAAAGGCCAATATCAGCAAAAGTTCAATTGGGGAGGGCGGCCTGATTGCACTGGGCCTTAGCCACCCCTTGGCCGCGCCCCTGCTCGGTGTTACCTAACCCTTTGTTTACGCAGCGTGGAACCTCCTTTGGAGACCTTACGGATTCAGGTTACCAGGATAATCGTCGGTATGCGCTATTGTTCTGTTTGATGAAGGACATTTCTAAGAGCTTAATAGTTCCTCCAAGATTCGGCTTCGATTCGAACCGAACAGCAGCTCCCATCGTCCTAAAACAGAGCAGTAAGCTCACCTTTCAGAGAGGTCTCCACCAGCCGCAGGTACTGTTTGGACCGTTTGTTTCCGTGACTCATCCTCTGAGCCACCCGGTTCCTCTGCAGCACGCACTCCTCCAGCTGCACCACATTCTCGTGCCGTTTTTCCAGGCTAGCCAGCGCCCAGAACTCCTGAAGAGCCAGCTCCACCTTCTCCGGGGCGTCACACCGGAGCTTCTTCACGGCCACCCTGGCTCCGGACCTGCGGGCCACCGCCTCGTAAACCACGCCGTACGCACCCCTCCCCACCTCCCGCAGCAGGCTGTATCTGGGTGCGGTGACCCGGAGCTTACATAGCCCGACTGCCCCTTCCATGTCATGGTCCGTGTCCTCCGTGTTTCCCACGCTCACAGCCCGAAGCACGGCCCGCGCTCCGGTCGCTGCTCCGCGGCGGGCTCGGGAGCTTCTCGTGCGTCTCCGTAAATTGTCGGCAGCACCTGTATCCATCCGTCCGCGTGCCTCCTTTACGACTCAAACCCTAGGTGAAGAATGTTGTCATGTTACCGACAGCGACGGGTCGGAGTCCCGCGCTGGATACATACAAGGTGTGAGACACAGCAGCCTGAAACCTCTTCGCATGAACCAACTGTGGAGATGACGGACATGCGCAGTAACCGCCGCAGAGGAGGAAGAGCCCGATGAGCACCTCCAAAATATGACTCCCGACGTTTACAACAACGTTACTCGGTAAACAGGTTCAATCCGGAACAAAGAAGAACCATGGAAGACATAATTTCCGGCGAACAGGTTTGTGTTATTCTTCCTAAATTAACCCTAAATGTAAATATTTATTTATTCTGTGACTCTAATCTTTATAACAGATGAATCTGTGTCTGCAAGAAGATATTAAACACACAAATATTAGAAATACAAAAGCGCCTCATCTACAGCAAAAATTATTTCATAAAAGCAAAAACAATTCACGATTCTCTGAGACATTCACATGCCAGAAAGACGTTAAAAAGATACATTTTTTTTAATCAGGACCAAACATATAAGAAAATACAAAACACCATATGACACTAATATTCCCCAAATCACAAAAAAATGTTTTATAAAAAAGGGTCTCTTTGTGAAAAGAAATCAATAAAAAGAAAAAAGGGGTCAGAAAAAAAACCCATGAAATATAGTGAAGTTAGACAAACATTTCACAGAAACTGAAAAAGTGAGTAAAACACACTAAAACCCTTCTGCTTTTCTTAAACTGTCTTTTATTCTGTCAAATATTTCTGCTAAGTGATTTTTTGTCTCTTCAGGTGAATGGTTTTTTTTTTAAATCTCCAAATCCTAAAGTGTCTTTGTTTTATGTAAAATGTTCGTTGGTGTTATTATATTTCTGTATTTAGTAGATCATTTTCACTGTTTGAGAGATGTTTTTGTAGTCATTTAATTTTATTTAATAAGAGCCCTCTGGGGGATTGTAGCCTTCATATTTAAGTATGAAGTCCATTTCCTCTCATCAAAACGTGTTTGAGTTTTTAGAAGTGCTTTTACTTCTAAAGGCAGGTCATCGATATTTCCGGTCTGTGGTTAGGTTCACCCCTGTCACAGAACACGGGTAGCCAAATTGTAAATAAAAATCAAATACTTTTTAAAAGAGAGCTAATATGTAATTGTAGATGCAAACATTAAGATTAAGAAACACAATTTAATCAGAAATATTACCTTCCTTTATTTTATGTGACATACGGTAATGTCTCTGACTGTCACTCCCATTCCGTACCCCCGTTGCACTTCCACCGATGGTTCAGTCCACCCCGCGCGGTCCAGTCAGCATGGTCCTTCACGTGTGCGGGTCGTGAAATATTTTGTAGGATGGTAGGGGAAGGTCCCGCCCTCCTTCGCCTCTGATTGGCTAGAAGTGCTGGGCTCCGATATATATATATATATATATATATATATATATATATATATATATATATATATATGTGTGTGTGTGTGTGTGTATGTATGTATGTATGTATGTATGTATATATAGCAGCCTGAGAGGAAATGAAAATATAGCCTAAAAGTTATTATGACAATATAATTAACGAAGCAGTTTAAAAAAAAAATGAACAAATATATAATAATGAAAAAATGAAAAGCTTTTGGAGAAGAAATCAAAGAATTAAATGAAATAGAAATGGAAAAATACAAAGCCATTTGAGACTACAGACAATTTAAAAAAAATACTACATGAAAATAAAAAAAATGAAGTGAAACATAAAGTAAAGAAACAAAATCTAAAATTACAGTTAATGTGTGACCATGACTTACAGACTTCGTCCTGTGTCAAAATTAATTGAATATTTTTATTAATGACATTATTTTATTGTTCTTTTAAGAGTTGATATTGAGTTTCTTCTCTTGTAGTTGTCTCTAAAAGGTCCCTTCTGTATCTCTGTTCCTCCATAGGAGACAGTGTTTTCAGTTTGGTCTTTATTTCTTTGGCTCTATTTGTGTGTTTCTGCCTCTGCAGTGTTTTAATGTCTTTTACCAGCCGCTTACACAGCGATTTGAGTCAGATGTCATGTTAAAACCGGCAGGTCAGATTTATGCTGACCTTGGTGATGTCTGTGTGGGGGCAGAAAACAGAAGAACACATGTGTATTCACAGGAGGACACACCTGGGTCTTACAAGACTCAAATCATGTTGGAAAAATAGAGTCAGAGTACAGATACAATCGGAATAACAGCAGTTTAACTTTACAGTTCACCCGTCTGAAGGATAATCTGTGGTCACAGGATATCAGACGGCCTTTCTTCCCAGTGGATTCAGGATTTACTTCAGAGTCTCAGAGCTAAAGACAAAGGAAAAACGGATGTGTTAAAAAGCTTATTTTCAGATATTTGGAAACCTTCACTAAAGTATATCTTAAGCTGTCCTCATTTTTAAACAGGTGTCTGTATCACCTGCCCCCCTTCACAGCAACTGTGAATATTTCACTTTTTCTGCAAAATTTGTTCCATTAGAAATGAATGGAGAAATCTCTCCACTCATTTTTGCTTTAAAATGTTCAGCAACTTGTCTGCTACAAATGTTGTATTCACTCCTTTTTGCTATTTCCTACCGTTTTTGCAGAATTTAGCTTGGCGCAACATGAAGTTTTCTGCCTTTTTCAGCCTTTCCAATGAGTGTGTATTGGAAACACTAGAGTGTGTGACGTCATCACTAGAGCGGGCGGAGCGTTTTGGATTCACTAGACCAAACGTGATTATTTTGCTCCCAAGGCCGCAATTTTCACTCCACAGACATAAAAAAACACATCAAAATGGAGGTACACTCGTCCTACTTCTCACAAAGTAGGGCTGTGTCCGAAATGGCCTACTACTCCTACTACTCGTACTAAACCCTCCTCTGAATTGAGTAGGCAGTGTGTTCACACTGTTCAGTATGCGAATTTTGTGTATGCGAGAAATGCCCGGATGTATACTCAATCGGCTTCGATTTCTGAGTGTGGAACGGAGCTTGCTTCACGTACTGCTTCTGCCCCACAATGCATTGCGCACCTCAGCTGGTAATATGGCCCTCTTTCCCGAGGCTGAAAAGAAATAGATGGCATGTGATTGCAATAATAATTATATGTATATAAATAGATAAACAATATTTAGTCAGTATACATTACACAATTTTTATCATTTTATCATATTTTGATCTTTTTCCCAGATTTATTTGTATTTTAAATTAGGATTATAGGTAATGTTTTTAACTATTCGTATGAATTGACTTTATTCATTTAAGTGTCTATTAAAGATGTATTTATTACATCAAGTTTGAGCATCTTCTCATCTCTGAATGCGTCATCAAAGTGGTCACTCATATTAAGCACAGACCTCTGATTAATAAAAATTATCTTTGGTAGAGAGCACATGGTTCAGAATATACAAACGGGGGAGTTTCCAGTTGACAATGTATATGTGAGCTTTACTAATTCTTACTTGTGGTTGAAAACCTGATGGTTTCTGAAATTATCATTGTACATGAAAAGAATGTTGTCGGGAAATGATGTATTTGACAAGGAAAAACCGAACGAGGTCATAATAATTATGTTGTGTGTTGGTCATTTTGCAGCCCTCTGCTGCTCATCACACGCCTAGCAGGTGGTGTATAGCATTATCACCATGGATACACAGATGTTTGTGTGATTTTTTTCATCCACTGCCGCCCGGTTTGTCTCGTGTAGATGATGATTATGAAAACACTTCGCAATAATTTGGAAATGTGAAGGGGGAGCTGCTGCTGCCCGGTGTTTACGGTAAATAGACGCAAACACCCACCAAGTGGACGCTTCGGTCTCCGAAAACGCCGAGACAAATTTACAAACAGCCACTATTTTAAACAACTGGGCTCATAATCGTGATGTAAATGTAAGGTAGATACTGAGTTGCGCCACTAGGTGTCGCTATAACGCCACATTAAAACAAGAGTTTACTATTGAGAATTGCCTTTTGTCCCTCTGACACACCGTAGGGGTTGATATCGCGGGTGTAATGAGCATTTCCTTTAGATTTCTGATATCAACCTTGTAGGTAAGTCACGTTAGTTTCATGGGAAGATAAAGTTTGAAATATTAAGCATATAAGCTGTCATAAGTTCGTTTTGATGAGCTATTTTGATTACTGAAACATTAAGCACTTGATAGCTGTGTAGTTTGTTGAGCTAACTACTTTATATTTTTGGTAAAATCTACGTTTGGAATACGAGTGTAATAGCGCTAACTTGAATGAGATGTAGCATTGTAATACACTTTTCTATTTGAAGTTTACTGAGATTTCTGATATCAACCTTGTAGACCCCTGTGTTGTGAATAAACCAACGGTATTGCCAGGATCCCGAACCCATCTGTGTCCGTGTGCATCTCCTTACCGGCTGCCGCTGCACCCCCCGCCAGAGGTCCATTTCACACATAAGCAGACACAACGCAGAGTAGCCTAGCTGTGGAGGTGTTGGAGAGCCGGCAGGCGCGCGCGAGAGACAGAGAGAGGGCTACATAAACACTTACTTTCTCGTTAGAAAAAATATTATTATTGAATGAATTTATATAATTTGTCCGGAATGCAGTCGTTCTGTGTAGCTTGTGGTAGGACTATTTAAATTTTCCCGGCGCTGCGTCCGGCCGGCACGAAATGCATTCCGGGGTATTTAGTATGCATCTGTATGTAAACGCTCGGGCAGCCACGGCATACTCAAATCATCTTTGAGTAGTCAGTAGGCAGTAGCTACTGCTTGAGTAGGTAAGTAGATAGTAGGCAGTATGCCATTTCGGACACAGCCTTGGTCTGGAGTCATCAAATTGTACAGCTTGCCCAGGAGGTGAGTACATTCCTTAGGAGCCAGAGATTCTGCCCATTAACTCCCATGTTAAATTTTGGCCAAGAAACCCTGACAAATACTACAGTGAAGCCTATTTTTAACTCGCTGTTGTGGCCACATTTTTTACACTTTGGACATAAAAAATACATCATTGTGCTCATGATAGTGTCAGAACTCCTAAGATGGTCTTATTTTTGGGATATGACGGAAATTGCGCTAGGGGGAAAAGTTCGGACGGTTTCTCACTGCTTTTGCGATATCTGCACTTCTCATGGGCTGTGTGTTTCCATCACACACGCACGGGCTCGGTCGCGCGCACGCGCGGGCACACACACTGTTGCCATGTGTGCATTACTGTCTCTCTGTCAGTAGAAAATACACCCCCAATATTAACTTTGTTGTTACAGTTCTTGTCTTTAACTCTTTTAACATACTAACTCAGCACTCAGCATTTCCACGCATTTTCTGCAAGGAAAAGATTACCTTTGAGGTGCACACAACAAAGCTGTTTAGTCATCTCAGAAATATTTATAAAATTTGGTCCATTGTCACTGTCCAGTCTGGTGGGATAAATTCACCTGCTATGACATGGATTTCAGTTCTTGAAGAACATTAATGGAAGTTTTGCCAGCTTGAAGGTGATCTATAGTAAAAAAAAATCAGCCTGAAATATGAATTTTAAAACTCAATTTTAATCAATCACTATAAAAGAGTGGCATTCACATTTTCACTAATTTAAAAACATCT